TTATTTGTATATACAATTTTTTAATTATATTACACACATTCGAGTAGCAATCTTAAAAAAAATATCCGAAGTGATATTTTAAAATGAAAGAAAGGGAAATGAGGTAATAAATACACTAAGCGTGTTAAAGTAATGGCCCAGTTATGGGCATACTCTGTGCAATCAGTCTTCAATAGCAATTCAACCCAGATGTTGAGTTTTAAAACCATTTTTTATTTAGTAATTATTTAGTAAATAATATATTATTGGATATTGAATGGAACTTAATTCAATATTTTATTTTCTTCTTCCGTTTTATAAAGGGACTTTGTTGTTTGAAATTCCATATTCCACTCTTCTTAGACACATCCATAAATAAATACAAATATATTTTGTAATCTATAATACGTCAGCATTTTATAAAAAAAAAATAAATATATTATAAATTGCAACTAAATTTATTTCATTAAATTTTCATTTCAACTTATTTGAATTATTTATACAATCAATTTCAATGTATTCCTAATGAGATTTTACTTATATATTTACACTTTTGTTGATACATATAATACATATATTCATAGGTCGAACATTGTTTTATTTTAACACAGAACCCATTCAATATTATTTATACAGAAAAACAAAAGTACATGACTCGCATCTGGGATATCATATGGTATGTGTTATTGAATATTCTAGAAAGCATGCATCCAACAATTGTTAGGTAATGTTTTGTGATACTCAATTATTACAGTTCATGTTGTTTTTTATTACAGTTATTTATGTTTTTTTTTTAAATATTTTATCCGAGACATTTCCCAATGTGACACTTTGAACAGTTTCATTCATGCTAGTCTTTATATCCTAGAAGTGCTGTTGCTTTATTTAATGACACCCAAGGGAACGTGTGGGAGCAAGCACGAGCTTTTGCAGTTCACAAGGAATATTAAAAGATATTTAAAAAAAAAAAAATATAGTACTTTATTAGTTTTACAATTTAACTTGTATACAAAGTAAATAGAAATTAAATTTGATATTTTTTAAATTAATATTAAATTACTGTAACGTATTATTTGAGAAATCCCATTTAATTTTGAAAACACTTGTGCAACTCTTAGTATATACTATATATAAATACTATAAATACTAAATATTATATATATACAATATATAAATACTATATAATATTATATAAATCCTATATAGTATAAATATAAATATTATAAATACTATATTGAGTCAAACTTCCATAACTCGAAGGTTCATTTTGCAACGAATAGGTTCGACTTATGGAGACTTCGAGTTAGAGAATTATTTTATTTTTTTTTATTTTTTAAAGAAACTAGAATTACATTTTAAGATATTTATTTATTTATTTGAAATAAAATACAGCACAGAAGTTATAATGAATTAAAATATTTAGAAATTAGGGTTTGGGACTTTAATTTTTTTTTTTAATTTTCAGTAAAAAGAGATATTCATACTCTTGTGGTGATCAATACTTGTAGTATCATTTGTTAGCAAATATAAATTCAAAATTTTGAATGAGTCTTCTACTTTATTCTTGGAAGGCTGATGAACAATTACATCCATCGAACTCTCATCATATCTTACCGTTGCGCTTAGAATTGGATCTAGTAATTTAGAGCTATATTGTTCAATAATATCGTCATCTGTAGGAAAGTTTGATGTATAAATTTCATTGTCAAGCTCAATATAATCCTTAAGAGTAGCATTGGTAATTATTTTATTTACTGGCATTTGCACAAAGAAGCAATATAAGAAAGAAAAAATTAAACATTTGATTTGGGACTTCCCCTAACAGCAAAATGCAATTATACTTAAAACAAAAATTCGACTTATAAAATGGGCTTTCCATATTCCTAACGGTACGGAACAAACTTTTTGTTGGAGTTATAGAGAAATTCGAGTTATAGAAGTTCGAGCTATGGAAGCAGAATAGAATTGTATGTAATTAGTTCTCTAAAATCTTGGTGCACTGTTTTTTGTTCGAATTATAAAAAATTCGAGTAATAGAAGTTCGAGTTATGGAAGTTTGGCTGTATATATATATACATATGTGTATTATTTATAAAAATTGTGTTTCAAATTGAGATAATTCAGAGCAGAAAATTTAATTTAAATTTTCATTTCATGAAACATTCAACTTCCTTCATAGTAAATATTTGCAATTTCAGATATGTGTGAGTGCTTTATAAATATTAGCTTCATATTTTTTTTCAAAATAATCATAACAGGGTAAAATCCTGCTTTGCTTACTTGAAGCTGAATGAAACACATTTATCATATACTATACTCACTTTATCATAGCAAGTGCGTTATTTGCCATAACTTTTACTTTGTACATACGGACATATATACAAGTATTTATATAACGTATCTGCATCCTGCTGTGAAACTAAATCAAATCATTAAGTATATATTTTTACGTGAGTACATTTCATAAGCTCAGACAGTAAATATTCTATTATAAAACACAAATAGTGCAAATGTCATGGTCAATTTAATAAAAATAAAAATTGAATAATACATGTAGTGCAAATACAAGATTCTAAAATTTTACTACAATATAATATCATAAGAAATACAGAACATATGAGATGTGTTTATTTTAATAACACAAATGCAATAAAAATATTGTACATATACATATTAAAAGGTTTTTATTTTTATTCTTTTAAATTTTCATCTTTAACTCAGTTGTATCTGATTTTATTATGCTCTAAAGTAACTTCTAGTAATAAAAGAGTTACTAGAATAATGGATTCGATTATTCGACACGCAAAACATTTCTAAACAATTCCTGTAAGGATATCAAAAGTTCAAATCGATCTGTGTAGAAAAAGTTTGGAAATTGTTTAATACAATAAAAGCTTCACATTAGATAAGCAATTTGTAAATTTTACATAAACTTTACAGAAAATGAAATACAGTTAATTTATAGTTAACCAAAAGAACTTTGAGTATATTAAAATTAAAATACTATATTTTATTTAATATAAATCTAAAAGGAATACACTGTCGAATTTGCCTGTAGCTAATTTGAAACCAAGCTAGAAATAAATAATGAATAATAATTAATTTTATGTTATTAGATATATTTTTATTTAAATAAACACTTAATTTTTTTTTTCTTTCAAATAGCACTACCAAAGCAACAAAATCTTCAAAAATACTAAAGTCTGTCAACACATTATACCTAATATACAAAAAGGTTCCAAATATTTTAACTGAAGAAGAAGTTCGTCCACATATTAACACACAAAAAATAAAACCTTATTAGTGTCGGAAAAATATTCTATATTCTCATCAGAACCTGGAAGTTTCAAAACCAATTTAGAGAATCTGTTCTGTTACCTGAACAAGCTATGGGTGGATTGAAGAGAGAAAACAACAACACTTCTATGACAAAAATGTCTATATTTTCTTAAATATAAGGAAAGAATTCACAAAATTATAAAACGATTCAAATACCATACTTTTGCCTAGCTTTTTAAAAAATCTTCATTTATAACTGTTTCGTTTATATGTATATTTAAAAAAATGTTAAAATGTATTTTTATATAGAATAGACACTCGTTATTTCTGACCAATTTTAAATTGGGTGAATAAAGAACCAATCTATCGATACTCACTAACGTGTTGCTAACAGCCTTTGACTTGAGTTATTAAACATAAGATCTATTAACCTATCTCTCTCTCTCTCTCTCTCTCTTTTTCTCTGTTTCGAACTCTATTAGTTACTTTCTTTCTCGCTCTTTCTTTCTTCCCCTCTATTGCTTTTTAATTTAAGAATGGGAAAATTTTGGTATAAATTTAAAAAAACTGTAAGTGAATCTTAAAAGTCCAAATTGTGAAAATTAATTTATATTAAACTTGCTACATACTTTAAAAGTATTTTTCTTTATCACCCCCTCTGTTCTTCTTTCATTTTTCTTTTTTTCTGTATTTCTCCTTTACTATTTTTCTTTCTTTTTTCCTTTCTCTTTACCCTCTCTCTCACTCTATCTTTCTCTTTCCCTATCTTACTTTCTCTCTCTCTTTCTTACTATCTCTCTCTCTCTTACTCTTCCTCTATCATTGCCTTCCCGTCTCCTTATCTCTCCCCGTCTCTCTGTTTGTCCACCTTTTCTTTCCCTCCTACACTCGTTCAGCAATTAAGGAGTTGCTTAATACGTATTTAGTCCATAACCGTCTTTTATTATCTCACTCTTTTTCTAACCTTCCCGCTTTCTTGTCCTATAACTTTTTTCCCTTCGCGAACTTATTGTAAACTCTAATATATTTCGATTGTACTAGATTACTGATCCATGGGACATTATTTTTGAAGTTATTTCCATTAAAGATATTGAAAAATGTTCATCGAAGAACTTTAAATAATTATACAAATATTATTAAAAACCTTTTATTTTTTTAATTAATTAAGACAATATTAATTTTATTTTTCAATTAATATACAAATATATCATATCACAATTTTTTATTTTTTTTTTTTTTTTTGTTTTACATAAATTATTTATATTTATTTAATGTTAAGCAATTGCTCAAAAATTGTTCCTTTAATGCAATATGTGCACTTGAAAGTATTGTATTTCCTATGAAATCAGTTGCATTTTCCAATAATGAAGAACAAACAATTTTATTTATAATTTAACACATATTTAATCAACACATTTTTGCAAAAATTAAATAAATTAATTTATATTTTAATATTCAAAAAAATTTTTTTTCAACCTTTCATAACATATTTAAACCATTTTCACAAACTAATTGCCGAATATTATAGACATAAAATTTATCATAACATACATAAAAAAACAAATTTATACTTAAACATATTTTACTAAAAATAATAATATATATATATTTTATTGTGTATTTATTCATTTCTAAAATATATATTTGTATTTTATTTTTTTCTATTTTCTCTCAAAAAAAAAAAATATACAAAAAAATCTTTTTACGTGTAAAATGCTAATAAAAAATAAACTTTTATAAAGTTTGCATACTGCACGGATATTGTAAGTCTCACCTAATCTGATATTAATATATATATTTTTTTATATACATAATATAATAAGTGTTTTCAAATAATTTTATATTTTTATTGAAGTCAAATTCAGTTAAAAAAATAAAATTCAATTAAAAATATTTATTTATATTTTTTTTTTTTGAAATATTCACACATCTTACAGACCAACCACCGCAACTAAAATTCTCACTATCACCACCACCACCAAAAGCTATCTTTGGTTCACCACACAACATGCAAGCCAAATCGAATGATCTACAATCTTCCAATTCAGTTAAGAGTGACGATGAATCCTCTTCAGTTGGCATGTCGCGTTCCACGTCCGCCACTCGTAATGATGACAATGATGCTGCTTCCGATTATAATCAATGGCTGCATGCTATGAAACTGGTAGCTCATTTACCCGGAGGAATGCCACCTGAATTCCGGCGTAAGGTAAAACTTTGCTTCCGTCCATACACTCGTACTTAAATCCAACGTGAAGTTTTTAATAAATTGTATAATTAAAATATTTTCTTAGTTGTGGCTGTCACTTGCAGATAAATATCTTAAATCAAAAAATGTTGATTGGACAAAGGAGGAGGAGAAATGCTTCTGTGAGAAATGGCGTGAAGATGACGAAGAATTGGGTATACAAATTGTGAAGGTATGTTAGTGAATACAAATAGATGTAATATGTAAACTTATTACAACCTATCTACATATAATAGTCAGTATTAGCCACGATATAAAAGTATTTTTTATTGTCTATTAGTCAGTCAATATATAACATTATATTGATATAACATTATATAACATATATACATTATATAACATTTTATAAACATTATATAAATTTATTAAAAATTTAATTTTATAAATATTGATCAAATTCTGTAATTAATTACTTCAATTTTGATTACTTAGATTAACGATCATAAAGTAAAAGAAATGTATAATTTTTGTTTAAATAAAATACCCTTGTCAGATTAAAACTAGAAATGATTCTGAAGCTATTTAAAACGGCTCTTTTTAAATAAATAATTTTTAATAAGCTCTTGACGTCCATATTCTATATTTATCGTCTAAAAACGAATTTGTCTTGACCTTTAAAAAACAAAATGTCTTCTAAATATTAATATTGAAGATATCGATAAGTCTCCCTCTAGAACATATACTTGTAAACAATCTTTTGACATCCATATTCTGTATAAACCATCTAAAAACCAACTTTTATAGACCTTCTAAAAATTAATTGTCTTCTAAATATTAATACTGAAGATAGCGATAAGTTTTTCTCTACAACATATCTTTATCAACAATAGATGGTTTATATAGTATAAACCATCTAAGAACGAACTCTTCTAGACCTTCAAGAAACGAAATATATTCTAAATATTAATACTGCAGATATCGCAAATATAATTTATTATAAATTTTGTATAACTTTCACATAATTTTTTTTCTGTAATATTTATTTCATTTAATGTATTTAGTAATTACCATAGTTTTGCGAGAATTATATCTTATCAGTTTAAATGCTTATAAAAATTCTTTTAATTTCTTCTACTAAAAATGGTTCGCGTTATTGTTGTAGCTTAATGAAAACCTTTCTTTTAAATATTAAAAACTCAACGTCATCTTTGACGATCACGAAGAGGATGACGATGTATACTTACTCAAACGATGTTATTAACTACTCAAAGAGTTATATATTTTAGATATTTATATAATAAATCATTTTAATCACAAAGATCAGTCCATAATTATATATAAGGCTTTACTATTATATGATATACAACATTATCACTTCAACATTATACAGATAACTGAATGCATATTGGCGCATTTTAATAGAGAAAACCATAAAATCTCATTAAAAAGATGTAAGTCTTAGAGCGGGTTTGCTATTAGGTCAAGTAGCTAATTAACTTGGAAGATTTTCATATTATCCTCAATAACTTTTATTGCATCTATAAGGAATATAATAAAAGTGCATTTTTATTATATAGCGTTAAAAAGCGTCTATAACATTACTTATTGTTTAAACTGATTTTGATCCCATCGAGTCCTTTACTGCAACACAATGGATCAATATGTCGAATTGATTATCCAGTATCACAGTTATAACTTACCATTAGGTTAAGTTATATGCATAACTATGTCGAACTATATGTTCTATATCAATTATCATGTACAATTTGTTTTAGTATTTATTTACGACAATTCCGAATTGGTACCAAACCATTCTATATACTGCAAAAATAGATATACAGTTTCTGCCATCAAACTCCTATGAATGACAAAAAGTAATACAATAAATGGCTACTAAATGTCATATAAGGATATATATTGTATTCAGATTTTATTAATTATTTCAATTGAGCAGACGCGGGCTTTATATTCTTTATTGAGGCTAAAGATGGTTCACTGACCCCCTGTATAAAGGATCATCTAACTTTTGACAATATAATCGATTATTTATTTTTTGTTTTCAATTATAAAAAGCATATTTTAACAAACAAAATTTAGTTATTTTGTTAAAAATATTTATTTATATATATTGTTTACTTGACTTGTGTGTTCTACAAGTCAATGCGTTGGGTTAGTTGGATAATTAATAGTGACTTTGAGCTTCAAATTTGGCTAGGCAGAGGTTCACCTGTTGGTACTTGCAGTCTCAAAAAATTATTTACGTTTAATTATATACAAGAAATATTTCCAAAAAGAGACCACTGATGGTCTCTCCAGCCAGCCAAAAATTCAATTAATAAATAATAAAAATTTTTGTTGTTTTGATTCATTACTGTTCAAAATACCTAAACAATGGCTTCCAATATGAAACATAGTTTCTTTCGTCAAAACTAACTTAAAAAATCAAATTTAATAAAGTATTTATTCTAACAATTTTACGTCTTTTTTTTCACGTTTTAAACAGGACTTGCATCGCACAGGCTCTAATTTATGTTCCATTAATCAAGCCAAACTAAAGCGCATACTGTTAGGTTATGCACGCTACAATCCTGAAGTTGGCTATTGTCAAGTAAGTCAAGAGTTAAGAAATTAATTTACTTATAGTTTAAGGCTTAAACATTCATTTCATGCCAATATTGTTAGCATTTCACGAATTCTAATTCTCAGAAGAAGTAATTGAAATATTTTGTCCTTGTACAGGGTTTCAATATGCTTGGAGCATTAATTTTGCAAGTTATGGATAAGCAAGAAAGTGAATCAATGAAGGTGATGATCTATCTTGTCGAAGGCGTACTGCCTCAAGGTTACTTTTGTGGCTCAATGGGTGGACTTCAAGCAGATATGGGAGTTTTTCGAGAACTCATGCAAACTAAATTACCGCGTCTAGCAAAGCATTTGCAAAAACTGCAAGGCCCCATCGAGCATGCCTATGAGCCACCACTAACGAACGTATTTACGATGCAATGGTTCCTAACATTGTTCTGCACCTGCCTGCCAATGACTTGTGTGCTGCGAGTTTGGGACCTTGTGCTTATTGAGGGTAGCGATGTGTTGTTACGTACTGCTTTGGTGTTGTGGAGTTTACTAGAAGAGTAAGTACAATGTAGTTTGCATTATAATTCATGTTATACAGTTTTGTGTGCCAGATTTGTTATCTGAAATTATGTCACGGCAAATGGCAGGTGAATGATATTGTTAAACATGTACAAGGCTGCCGGAAATGCACAGCAAATAAAAATTTTGAACCTACGTTCATTGTATGTATGTACAGCAATAAGTGAATGCAGCTACTGTCGTCTCATGTTTGCATATTTAGCAAATCTTTAAAGATACAAATACCAAAATTTGTAGATACTAAACGACACTAAATGTATAAATCAAAGTGCATACATTTTGTAACTGAGTTTTAATGTTTGTTTTCATAAGCAAAACTTAAAATTTACTATGTACTTCATACCTTCCGTTTCAACTTTTCAAGGAAACAATTAAGCAAATTCTAAATTTTAAATTCTGTTAAAAAATGTTAGCAGAATTTATATATATATAAATATATTTATTTATATTGTATATATATAAAATATGGTAATAGTATTGGTAATGGTTTATGGGTTAGGCTAAGGCCTTTATGCACTACGACCAGCTTGATCTATTGTACACTCCTTTGTATTAGACATTTAGTATCTCGAATAATCGAACCACCTACTTCGGAATGAGTTTTTGAAAGTCGTCATCCTATAGTTGGTATACACGTAAAATTTTGTGTCTTTTGTGACCAAGTGCATCACAGCTAGTGATCAGATGTTCCATAAAGTCTTCCTCATCACAGCAGAATCTGTAAATATTTGTGTTGCAGGCGACGTGGCCTGTTAGGGCTCCAGAGAGTGAATTTAGAGTCTTCATGTTTTGGTTGAGAACGATGTTTGCTCTTTTGGCATCAAAATTTAAGAATTTTTTGGAATGATTAAGACCGTCTGTGCCATTCCAATATTGAATAATTTATTGGTCTCCTGTTTTATATATATATAATATATACTTTTTTGCATATTATATTATATTCTATATTATACATATTATATCATATTACTATTATATAAATATTATATATTATATATATACATTCCTATTTCAAATTATAATTATGTAAATATATAATAATTATCTATTTTCTTTAAGACGCGTACTAAGTGCGCGAACTGCGGATGAATTCTATTGTAAAATGGGATCCTTCTCTAGTGAACTTCTGAACGGCCACCTTATCGATTCAAATGGTTTAATTGAAAAGGTAGTACAACTTGGACCTATTGCAGATATACAAAAGCTACGTGACAAACATCTTTACAATATAACACCTTTAGGACATAAGCAAGGTTTACAGTAAGTTAATTTTACTCATTTAATTATATGCAAATAGCAATAAAGTATCTTCTATAGGCTATATTTCGACGGTGAAGAGCCACAAACTGATGAGGAATCGCATTTAGCGGTCGCTACAGTTTGGGGT